AGACAGGGTTTCCCTGTGTTGTCTAGGGTGGTCTCTTAGAACTCCTGGACTAGTTAGCCCAGCATGGTGGTACACACCTGCAGTCCCAGCTACTTGGGAGGCTGAGGCAGGAGAATCACTTGAGCCTGGGAGGCAGAGGCTGCAGTGAACTGAGATTGCACCACTGCACTCCAGCCTGGGCAACAGAGCAAGACTCTATCAAAAAAAAAAAAATACTCCTGGGTTCAAGTGATCCTCCCACCTTAGCCTCCCATGTTGCTGGGACCACAGGCACACACCACACGCCTGGCTAATTTTTGTATTTTTTGTAGACACAGGGTTTCCCTGTGTTGCCCAGGCTGGTCTTTTAGGACTTTTGGACTCAAGTGATCCTCCCGCCTTGGCCTCCCAGTGTATTGGAATTACAGGCATGAGCTGCTGCATTATTAATATATAAATGCATCAAATGTATCGGGGATTCCAGCGAATTCTAAGAGGACCTGGACATGTTGGGATGTGCCCGGAACACTAGTGGGCATGGGCCACCCATCTGCATTTGCAGGAGGACTGAAAAATATCCAGAGGGCAAAACCCTTTAGGAGCAGCCAGAGCAGGCCCTAGAGGCAAGTAGGGCATCCAGGGTACAACATTTAAGGAGGCCCCCCTCTCAGGAGCTGACCCTGCACTTTCACGAGCCTGAGAGAGAGGGCTTCCTTAAATTTCCCACTAACTCCTCCTTTGTCTCACCAAATCGCAGCCCTGAAGAAGCCAGAAGTGGCTGGGCTTGGTGGCTCACGCCTGTAATCCCAACACTTTGGGAGGCTGAGGCAGGCAGATCACCTAAGGTCAAGAGTTTGAGACCAGCCTGGCCAACATTGTGAAACTCTTTCTCTACTAAAAATACAAAAATTAGCCGGGTGTGGTAGCGGGTGCCTGTTAATCCTAGCTACTTGGGATGCTGAGGCAGGAGAATCGCTTGAACCTGGGAGGCAGAGGCTGCAGTGAGCCGAGATCACGCCACTGCACTCCAGCCTAGATGACAGAGCAAGACTCCGTCTCAAAAAAAAAAAAAAAACAGAAGCCAGATGTGTCCAGCTTGTTCCAGTGGTCAGAACTGGGGCACAGAGTTTTATCATAAGACCACATTGCAGCTACTAACTGGAGTAAAAAGAAAGAATTTACTACAATGATGTAGCAGACATTTGTAATGCAATGTGAGTATTTTGTTGTACAGATGGGGGTGGGGTGTCTTGTTATGTTGGCCAGGCTGGTCTTGAACGTCTGGCCTCAAGTGATCCTCTCAACTCAGCCTTCCAAAGTGCTGGGACTACAGGTGTGAGCAAATTGCTGGGTCTTGAAGAGGGTAAGGGCCATGTTCCAGGGTCAAAGTCCAGCTGAGAGTCATCATGAGGATCAGAGTGGGGGTCAGTGTCAGAGTGAGGATGAGGAGTGTGAGGCAAACATTCAAAGCCAGGGTCAGGGCGAGGGTCAGAGTCAGTTTCAGGGTCAGAGTTTATCAACAGAGTGAGAAAGACTTAGTGCCGGGGTCAGGCTGAGTGTGTAGGTCAGGTTCAGCATAAGTTTCAGATTCACAGTAGGTTCAAGGACATGGTGAAGGTATGGATAAGGGTTCTTGTAGAGTCAGGGGGGAGGTCAGGATCAGGGAGACCATAAGGGTCAAGTTAGGGTCAGTGGAAAGTAAGCAGCAGAGTCAGGGTCAGGCAAGGGTCAGATTTATGGTCATGATGAGGGTCATGGTGACATTAAGATTCCAGGCCAGGGGAGGGTCAAGTTGAGTGCCACTGTAGGGTTAGCTTCAATGTTCGGGTCGGGATTAAGGGTGAGGTTAAAATTGAAGGCAAAAATGAGGGTCAGGGTCAAGTACAGAATCAGGGTCAGGGTGAGAACAAGATAGAGTGTGTAAGTGACAGTAAGATCAGGGTCTGGTGAGTGTCATAGTCAGGTGCAAGGTGAGAGTGAGCACCAGGGTAAGGCTCAGGTGTGGAGGAAGGGATGGTGTCAGAACGAGAGCAAGGTCAGAGTCAAGGTGAGAGTATATGCTTCAGGGTCAAGAGTCATGGTTAAAGGCCAGGTGCAGTGCCTCACATCTGTATTCCCAGTGCTTTGGGAGGCTAAGGTGGGAATCTTGCTTGAGGCCAGGGGTTCAAGACCAGCCTGGACAACATAGTGAGACCCCCATCTCTATAAAAAATACAAAAAAAGAAAATAGCCAGGCATGATGGCATGCACCTGTGGTCCCAGCTACTCGGGAAGCTGAGGTGGGAGAATCACTTAAGCTCTGGAGGTCAAAGCTGCTGTGAGCCACGCTGGCACCACTGCACTACAGCCTGGGTGACAGAGCAAGACCCTGCCTCTTAAAAAAAAAAAAAAAAGAGTCATAATTATTATCACTGTCTAGGTCAAGTTGAGGATCAAGGGTCAGGGTCATAGTGAGGGTCAGAGTCAACATCATGCTTAAGGAAGGGTCAGTGAAGGTCAAGTTCAGGGTAAGGGTCACGGTAGGATTCAGGTTGAGGGTCAGAGACAGGGTGAAAGTTAGGATCAGGTAAAGTTTAGGGTCCAATTCAGCATCAGGATCAATATAAGAATGAGAATGAGAGGCAATGTCAGTGTCAGAGTCAGGGTCATTGTGAAGGCAAGGTGTCCATTATGATCAGGAGCAAGGTGAGGCTACAGGTGAGGCCCAAGTTCAGGGTCAGCTCTAGGTCAGGTTCAATATCAGTGTCAGGATAAGGGCAGGGTTATGGCTATAATGTTTTACCATTTATTTACAATATTATTTCTAGTATTAATTCAGATACTGCTACCACAGCAAAGGAAGGTTATTGTTGCTAATTCTAATTTATTTTCCTTCAGGAACAGTAATGGATTTGGGGCACTCACTGCGTTAGTAATTTTATTTTTATTATTATGAACCATCAGGTTCAGATCACCATCTCTGAAAAATCAAAATATTCTCAGTTTTACTTCTTGTAGATTTACAACCAGTCACTTCGTTGATAGTAATGTGAGAGCAGAAAGTGCAGGTAACAGATTTTTCTGTCTTAAAAATATTTTTTGCAGCTTCTCAATTGCACAAGCTTAGAATGTTGGAACTTCCCAGTGATAATCTTTTCTACCTTTTACCTGTAATTGGTCATTTTCCTTTGAGCACCTGAGAAGTGGTTAGCTCAGCAGCTCCCATAGCTGGATAGTTATAAAGGTATGGAAAGTTCATCTTCATGAATTGAGCCAAAGTGGCTTCTGACATTCTTTACAGCTAAGCTGAAAGACAAATAACAGTGGTCGCTCCGTATCTGTGGGTTCCGCATCTGTAGATCCAACCAACCAAGGATGGTAAATATTTGGGGAGAAAAATGGATGGTTGCCTCTGTACGGAACAGGCTTTTTTTTATTGTCCTTACTCCCTAAATAATACAGTGTAACCACTATTTACATAGCATTGACGTTGTAGTCGGTATTATAAGGAATTCAGCCATGATATGAAGTACACGAGAGGATGTGCATGGGTTACATGCAAACACTTCGCCATCCTGCATAAGGCACCGGAGCGTTGTGCTGTGTGCTCTCCTAGCGTCCCCCAGTCACCGTCTTCCACCCACGCACACCAGGCCAGGTTTCTCTTGCAAAGGTGAGGCTGCCGACTACTGCCGCCTCGGGCCCCGGTCCCCATTCACGGACTGAGATTTCCTGAGGGGTGCCGTGGAAGGCCCCAGCCTCTGCCTGGACCACCGACCCCACCCCAGAGGTGATCGCCGCCTGCTTCCCTGGGAGGCGCCACTCCCCCAAGCTGGGTCTATGGCCGACCACACCCTAGGGTTGGAAGCACCGCTGGGGACCCTGAGCTGGTTCCCTTTCCACCCTGATCCAGGCTGCAGAGACCCAAAAAACAACAGTCGGTTCACAAGTCCCAGAAGAAAACTTGCTGGAGGTTGACACTAGGAGCAATCCCTCTGGGACCGAAACTTTTCCCGCGTTAGAGAGAACACGGAAAACGTCCACGGGGGCGCCTTCCAGCTTCCCGCGCGCACCCTGAGCCGCCTCTGATTGGTGTGCGGCGCCTCCTAGCCGCGCCCCCGCCCCGCGCGCCCCCGCTCCCCGCCCCCGGTACCCCCAACCCCCATCCAGCCCCGCCCCGCCCCGGCACCCCTCCGCGCACCCCGGGCCCGGCTCCGCACCCCGGGAACCCGCTCCCCCCGCGCGCCCCCGCACCGAGCACTCTTCCTGAGCGCCCTCCCCTCTGCGCCTGGAGGCTTTTCCTGGAGACTGCGACGCGGGTCTAACAGCTTCATTTCGTTTTTAAAACGGTCTTGAGTCTGGCCGGGCCCTGGTTCCGCCCAGAGCCCTAAAATAGAGGCTTCGAGTCTGGAGGTCTGGGAGAAAGGGAGCCTAAACCGGGAATTGACCTGAGAAGCTTGGGGCGGGGGAAAGGCGGGCTCCTCTGCTTCCCAATCCTGGCATCTGCGCCCAGGGATGTTGGAGCCAAAGGGAAGGGGCTCCCCGGCTTGAAACCTAAGTGGCGCGCTGAAGGGTTCTCAAGATCCCTTACAACTCTAAATTCCTACGATGCTCGGGCCTCCGGGGAGGTATTCTGCGGTAGTCAGAGTCCAAAGATCCTAGAATGTTGTTTGAGCTGGAACTAAGGACAGGGGATTGAAAAGTCGAGGCGGTGGACCTGGCGCAGGATGAACAAGACTGGGAGACTTCCAGCAGTTTCCTCCTCGACAAGCAGGTCACAGGACAACGTCTGGAGGGCTTCTATCCCCCTTTCTTGTTTCTGCCACCCCCTCCCCCGCGCCTCCGCACTCTCTCTAGTCCCGCCTTCCTGGCCCTCATTCAGCCTGTTTTAGTTTAGAATCTCTGCCCAGTGTTCACTCAAGGCTGCTAACCTCTGCTCTAAGGAATTAAGCTTCCAAGAGCATATCTAAGAAGGAGGGCGGAAGGAAAGGGACCGACTGCCTCCACATGTCAGGTCAGACCATGAAAGAGAAGCCAGGAAGTCCAACAAAACCAGCACTGGTCTTTATTGAGGTGTCATTGTAGAGTGGCGGGAGCACAGCCTAAGGACATGAAGGTCAGAGTTTCTCAGAGAGGAGGGGCTGGGTCCCTGGGCTAGGAGGAGGGCGGTGGGTGACTCCGGAGCTCATGAGACTTCAGGAAGTCCCTGTACTTGGCCAGGAAAGGGTTGGCCAGAGTGTTCAGCTCTTGCCGAAACTCCTGCAGAGCCCTGTCTCGTTCTTGGGGCTCCCCTGTCACCTGCTGCCTGTAATAGTTGATGTAGAAGTTCATCCAGTCCTCCACCACAATCACCATGTCTTCTTCAGAGATGAGAGGATCATTGAAGACCTGGGGGGTTGCGGAGAGGCAGTTGGCGAGGGAGAATGTGGTCAGCAGTGGGATTCAGGAATACCCAGAATAGTGCCACGGCACCAGCTCTCACATCCTCCTTCCTCTGCATTGTATCCCGTGTCTCTCATTGTTTCCAACAATTCCACCATTACTTCATCAGCTCCAGTTATCCTCTGTTTTCTGCCCTCATCCTCCACTTCCCCAGCACCCGCCAGTCTCCAGGCCAGTCCTTTGAAACGAAAGCCTGAACTCACCTGCTGATTCAGCAGAACGCTGAACTCCTGCCGTCCTGCAGAAATGAGATCCTTATTGGCCTTAAGAAGAGCCATCTGCCTGGGTAGAGAAAAGGGTAGAATTGACATATCCGTTTCCCTCCTCACTGGGTATTTTCCCCAATCTGCTCCCGCCCCTTAAAAATTCCTCCTGCCCTGCAGGGCCACCTCCTTTCCAAAACCTTTCACATCCTGCTGTGCTCTGAGGTCACGATTTTCCCAGGTTGGGCTCACCTTCAGGTCTAACAGGGTGTATATGTCTCACCCACACTCTTGAGGGTGCGTGAATCGCTCTGTGCCAAGCTATAGATGTAGGCAATGAGTCAAATGTCAGCCTAAGATAGAAACGCCCTGCATCTAGGTCCTGAAGGAGGGTGATAGGTCATTCTGGGGAGGAGAAGAAGGGAGAGGCTTCCCTGAAGGTAGAAAGATAACAAGGCCAAAAAAAAAAAGATAAATGAGGAAACCCAGGAAACCAAGAATGCAAGAGTCAAACCAGGGACATGTCGTTGCCCTTGGCCCTATATTTAGTATCCAGGCTTGAAATGCTATGGAAATTGACATTTACTGAGCCCTATTACATGACGGAGGCTTTTGTGTAATCACAACGATGTGATGGCAATTATTCTCCCAATTCAGAGATGATGTATTAATAGCAGCTTGCATTACATCTATTCATTTGCGCCAAGCACTGTTTCAAACATGTATTAAATATTTATCCTATAAAATTTCTTTTTAGACACATTTTGCAGATAAGCCATCTGTAAGCATGTAGACCGAACTCCACCACGTTGCACTCCACAAGAATGGAGATGAATAGCCGGGCGTGGTGGTGGGTGCCTATAGTTTCAGCTGCTTGGGAGTCGGAGGCACGAGAATCACTTGAACCCAGGAGGCAAAGGTTGCAGTGAGCCAAGATCACACCACAGCACTCCAACAAGATGAAGGAGATGCATTTGTCTTCTTCACTACCCCGTCAACAGGTATCCAATAAAGCAGAAATACTCTTTTTCTTCCTTTTAAATATTTTTCCTGGTATTTTCCATTTTCAGTAGATGTTTCTCAAATTTCAAAATCACTATATACTAATTTAAATAATTAAAACAATACAAAAACATCCACTGAAAAACAATCATTTTTGCCCCTCCAAAATAACCAGCATTAAACATGGTATATTTCCTGTCACTTTTTTTTTCCATTCAAAACCCAACATTCATAGGTACCTATACACTCATAAAGCTTCGTTGATTTGCCTTTTTGGTTGTAGCATTTTAAAATCAATATACAGCAAAACTGACTTCCTTTTGGTATACAATTTATTAAATTTTTTTTTTTTTTTTTGAGAGGGAGTCTCCCTCTGTGGCCCAGGCTGGAGTGTAGTGACGCGATCTCGGCTCACTGCAAACTTTACCTCCCAGGTTCAGGCGATTCTCCTGCCTCAGCCTCCCAAGTAGCTGGGATTACAGGCGTGCACTACCACGCCTCGCTAATTTTTATATTTTAGTAGAGATGGGGTTTCACCATGTTGGCCAGGCTAGTCTCGAACTCCTGACCTCAAGTGATCCACCCACTTCCCAAAGTGCTGGGATTACAGATGTGAGCCACTGCATCCGGCCTACAACCGCGGTTAAGATACAGAATGTTTCCATCACCCAAAAACCACTCCTTCATGTTACCCTTTTGTAGCCACCCCTCCCCTCACCCATAACTTCTGGCAACCACTTATCTGTTCATCACTACAGTTAAGTCTTTTTCAGGATGTCATATAAATGGAATCATACAGTCTGTAACCTTTGAGGCTGGCGTTTTTTGGTCAGCATGATGTTCTTGAACTCCATCCAAGTTACTGCAAGTGTCAGTGCACACAGTGCATTGTATGGACGCACTGTAGTTTGTTCATTCAGCCATGGAAGGACATCTAGATTGTTTGCACTTTGGGGCAAGTGTGAATAGAGTTGCTATAAACATTTGTGTACAGGTTTCCATGTGAACATGTTTTCATTTATATAGTGTGGAAAGTATGTGTTACCAGCCAGACACGGTGGCTCACATCTGTGATCCCAGCACTTTGGGAGGTCAAGGCAGGCGGATCACTTGAGGTCAGGAGTTCGAGACCATCCTAGCCAACATGGCGAAACCCCATCTCTACTAAAAATACAAAAATTAGCCAGACATGGTGGCATGCACCTGTAATCCCAGCTACTAGGGAGGCTGAGGCAGGAGAATCGCCTGAACCCAGGAGGCAGAGGCTTCAGTGAGCCAAGATCATGCCACTGAGCTCCAGCCTGGGCGACACAGTGAGACCTTGTCTCTAAATAAATAAATAAATAAATTTATTATCTTACAGACTTAGAGGTCAGAAATCTAAAATGAGACTCACTAGGCTAAAATTAAGTTGTCCTCTAGGTTGTGTTCCCCTTGGAGTCTCTGGAGAAGAGTTCTTTTTCTTTCCTCTTCTAGTCTATAGAAGAACCCACATTCTTTCACTCCTGGTCCCTTTCCAGCTTGAAAGCCAGCAGTGACCACCAGGTTCAGTCTTTCTCACATCACATCAGGCCGACTCTCTCCTGCATCCTTTCACTTCTAAATAACTTTTCTTAAATATTTCTTTAAAAATAATTCGTTACCAGGTGAGAAAGATCAAGATTCCAATGCCCTTTCAAAGCTCATTAAGGAAAAGTTTCATGAAGGCCTCTGGTACATGCCAGGAAACTCACAGGAGATGGTGCTGCCTCAGATGCCTTAGAAGGCCGTGCTGCCATGAACACATCTAGCATTGAAGCCACGCACAGCGGCTCATGCCTGTAAGAGGCAGAGACGGGAGGATCGTTTGAGCCTGGGGGTTCAAGACCAGCCTGGACAACATAGTGAGACTCCATCTCTTAAAAAAAGAAAAGAAAAAACTTCTAATTTTGTTCATTCCTCAAAATTTCCTGGCACAGTTGGAACTAATCCAACTCCCTGGACTATAATGAATTTCAGGGTAACATTAGTGAGATATGAAGAATTGAAGTCTCTTCCCTCAACCCACTGTCTTGAGAATAGCAGGGGAAACTGATTCCCTCCGAGCATGCTAGATGAGTCAATGAAGGAAGGGTTGAATGTGAGGTTACAAAAACACATTTGCTAAAGAATTGTAGAAAACCAGGATCACAAACTCATTCTGCAACAGAAAAATAAAGCACTGCTGATTTACAGAGGAATTCACAACTGGTGAGGTCTCTTAAATTAAGAAACCTAATAGGAACTCCCTCATCGAGGCAGGCTCTGCTTCAGCTGAACAAGAAATTAGCCCAGGGAGGAAAAGGGAACTGTTTGGACTTCCAGGAAGGTCTCTCCTTCCACTGAGAGGACTGCAATGAAGACCTCAACCATCAGGGAAAGAAGAGCCTCCTCCAGAAATCTGATTGGAATTGATGACACAAATTCCACTCTCAGTCAACACAGAAGCCTCACTTGCTCGTGGCGGTACCAGGTTAGAGTCAGGGCCAAAAGGTTGTAGATTTCGTGTTACGTGGTTTCCCCTGTGAACGTTTTGGGAGGGAGGTGAGAGCTGAACTGGTTAGGTGGAACTTTGGTCTTATTTCCTGGAGATGTGACGTTTTGGGGACCTGTTCCTGCTGTGACTGGCACAGCAATCAGGACCTGCAGCCACCAGAGTGTCCCAGGGCTGGGGAGGAGACAGGGGCCTTGCACATCTGAAGGTCAGCATCTGGGCAGTGTGGCTACTAGCAAGAGGGAGGAGCTTGCTCTGGATCCATTTGGGAGAGACTTGTCCCTTTGCCCTCTTTTGCCCCACCCCCGGGACACTTTCCTGTCCCTGACTCCCACTTGACTTTGTTTTCACTGATTGGAGCTTAGCTCAGAAAATGGAGGGGGCTGAAGGTATGAGTTATGGGTAGGGGAATTTAAGTTTGGGAATTTAAGTTTGAGGCTCCCTTGGCACTACCAGCCACACCTGCAGCCACATGAGGGTCCCAGTGCTGGGGCAGGGGGCAGTGAGATTGGCCAGGAACCAGAGTCTCCTGGGGACTCGAAGATACCTGCCACACGCATCCTGAGGGTGCTGAGGGGGACCCAGCCGAGATCAGCTGTACTCCTGGGTAGGCGAGAGCAGGCCCTGGGGGAACCCAGCCCACCCAGGAAGGATGCCCAGAGTGGCTTAGTGTGCACCTCCCACTTCTGCCTCTCCTTTGCCACTGCAAGCAAGACTAGGGGTCAAGAGTTACAGCTGCCAGAGTCCAGAACGGGCCCCTCCTCCCCAGCAATGTGGGTGGGGTCAGGGGCCTCAGGTCAAATTCAAGGAAAATCTTCAAGCCACGTGGTGTAGAGCCAAAGCTAAAGAGGCCACCCTAATAATAGACAGCGGCAGCCCCTTACAAACATGCTCAGACTCATAGGATCTCAAAGTGCAATTCTCCACAGTAGAAAGGACATCTCCCCTAACCGAAGACTGCACTCCTAGAAAAACTGGGGTCATCTGGCCCATCATTTGAAGGTAGACCTGTATGTTCAAATTATGTTCATGGAATAAAATTCATGACATGAACATTTTCTTTGGAAAGAAACATCCCGGAAATGGCTCCTGGAGCCTAAAACATCCTGTGTGGCACTTCCTTGAGGGCATGTACGTCATGACTGCTAAAATTATGATGAGAACTGAGTCTTATTTTCCTACTGGTAAATAGAACAAATGGAGACAAGGCCTGGGCAGCCCCATTGTATGTTTCAGGAGGAAAAGTAATGTCAGCTAGGGATTAGACTTTCAGATAATCTTTCCTTTAATGGTCTTCAAATTCTTTCATCCCATCCCTCTAAAGAATCTTTGTGTTCACTCCCACGCAAGTTTTGTAGAGATTTATTTTTGCCTCATACATTTAAATCATAGCAAAGGCTTTTAACTGTGACAGGATCCAAACACATTTAAACAAACCGCACATCACTCTTGTGAATGTGTCCAACACAATGTTAATGGAGTGGTGATTTGGCCCTGACCACTATATATTTTTTTAAAAACCAAACAAGTTCTTCCTTAGCAGCTGGGAGTTTCACAACACTCCTTTTACTTCTCGAACTTGTATTTCTATTCCAGTACCCCCACTTAAGTTGATCCTAAGATAACTCACATGCTTTCATGCTTGTGAGTATTTTGTTCAGTCTCATTCTACTTACTTGCAACTTCTCTCATTCGTTGTGTCTTTCTGTTGGTCTCTCTGTCTCACTCTCTCTCTGTATAGATACATGGATGGATAGCTCTGACATACATATTCAAGAGGAAATTTATTTATATATATATATATATA